ACATTTCAGATACCTCTGTGGAAGCAGGTGGTCATCGTGGGGGCACTAAGTTCTCCCTTCCTCTCCCCTCCAGCACCCTACTGGACACATCCCCAGCGCATGGAGAAGAAACTGCATGCGGTGCCTGCTGGCAATACCGTCAAGTTCCGCTGTCCAGCTGCAGGCAACCCCACACCCACCATCCGCTGGCTCAAGGATGGACAGGACTTCCATGGGGAGCATCGCATTGGAGGTGTTCGGGTGAGTCTCCATGTCCCAAAGCCATCTGCTCCTCCACTCACTTTCCCATAAGCCCCCTTATACCAAACCCCCAGTTCCTTCTCTAATAAGCCGCTGCACGGCCCCAGAAGGAGCACTAGGCTCGGACTGCTCTGGTTCGAGTTCCCACTCTCCCATTCTCTGGCAAGTGACTTAGCCTCTCAGCCTAAGTGACTCCATTGATAAAGGGGGAAGGATCCCTGACCAGTATCAATAAGTTCTGACAGCTCATTCTCATGATGAGATTCTGCAGGGTCACCTCTAGGCTGTAATGAGGAAGCTGAGACTCCGGGCAAAGACTGGCTCAAGGTGGCACAGCTAGGCAGAGGCCAAGCTAAAACTCAGGGCTCAGACACTTCTTAGGGCCTTCTCCTTTGTCCCAAAGTTCCTGGCCTTGGCCTGGACCCCCTGGTGGGCATGGGTCGGTGGCCCTCTGTGGACACTTCCCCTGCCTTCAGCTGCGCCATCAGCACTGGAGCCTGGTGATGGAAAGCGTGGTGCCCTCAGACCGTGGCATGTACACCTGCCTCGTGGAGAACTCAGTGGGCAGCATCCGCTACAGTTACCTTCTGGACGTGCTGGGTGAGCGGGCGGGCAGGCAAGGCAATGTGGGAGCAGGAGCCCAGACCCTGCCCTCAGGTAGGATGATGTAGACTCAGTCTTAGATGACTCACTCAAGCTGTTCAAGGTGTCCCAGTGGATCCAAGGGAAGCACAGGGGATAATGTAAGCCTGGAGGAGCAGGGGTCTGCTGAGAGGAAAACCGGGAAAGACATTGAGACAGAGGGTATAAGCTGGGTAAAGGCCTTAGGTATAAAAAATAAAATGCATTTGTGGGGAGGCGTATGCCGAGGGTGTGGCATTTAAGTGGGGAGCCCAGCCATGGAGGGTTTCGAATGCCAGGCTGAGAAGTTGTCCTTGACCCCAAAGGCAATGGGGAACCATGTAATGTTTAAGCAGGGTAAGCAAAGGACAGAAAAGATCTGAGCCGTGTTTTGAGAAGGTTCCTCCCTTGAGCTGGGGGGAGGCTGGAGGCGAATGACCAGGGTGCTTCTGTGGGTGCCACTGGTCAGGGTTGACGGCTGGCCCGGCCCCCAGAGCGGTCCCCGCACCGGCCCATCCTGCAGGCGGGGCTCCCGGCCAACACCACAGCTGTGGCAGGCAGTGACGTGGAGCTGCTGTGCAAAGTGTACAGCGACGCCCAGCCCCACATTCAGTGGCTGAAGCACATCGTCATCAACGGCAGCAGCTTCGGAGCCGATGGCTTTCCCTATGTGCAAGTCCTGAAGGTCCAGCCTCTGCAACACCTGAGCCCTGCCCTTCTCTCATGGGGGGTGGGGGCTGGTCTCTAGCTCCCTTTCTGGCCAGAGTGTGGTCCCAGGCCCTGCTGTGACTCCTAAGTGTGTCCTCCATCCCCAGACAACAGACATCAATAGCTCAGAGGTGGAGGTACTATACCTTCGAAATGTATCGGCCGAGGACGCGGGCGAGTACACCTGCCTGGCAGGCAACTCTATCGGCCTCTCCTACCAGTCAGCCTGGCTCACGGTGCTGCCAGGTGAGCACCTAAGGGGGCCAAGGGATCCCACTCGGATCCAGCAGTGGGCTGTGACTTGCTGGATAGACATTCTCCCTTGACCTGTGGGAGTTGAGCTTGGGACATGGTGTGTGGATTTTTGTGTTTTATTCCGCATGTGGCAGTGCCTTTTCATGTCCACATGTGACTGTCCATGCGACCCAGGGGTATGCAGGACTGGGTAGAATTGCAGCTTTCTTGGTGTGTGCCCCCATGTGCTTTGGGAACTGCGAGGGCCCAAGTTAGCAGGTATGGGGCTGGCCATCTGACCACTGATCAGTCAGTTATGTGTCTGTCCCTGTCTTCGGGCAGAGGAGGACCTCACATGGACAGCAGCAGCGCCTGAGGCCAGGTATACCGACATCATCCTGTACGCATCAGGCTCCCTGGCTTTGGCGGTTCTCCTGCTGTTGGCTGGCCTGTATCGTGGGCAGGTGCTCCATGGCCGGCACCCCCGACAGCCCGCCACAGTGCAGAAGTTGTCCCGCTTCCCTCTGGCCCGACAGGTACCATGCCATCCCTACCCCTGTGTCTCTGTAATAAGGCTCTCAGCCTGCCTTCCCACTGCAGCTCAGCACCAACAGGCCAACCAAGTCTCCCACTTCGCAGTTCTCCCTGGAGTCGGGCTCCTCGGCCAAGTCAAGCTCGTCTCTGGTGCGGGGTGTCCGTCTCTCCTCCAGTGGACCTCCCTTGCTCGCTGGTCTCGTGAGTCTAGACCTCCCTCTGGACCCGCTGTGGGAGTTCCCCCGGGACAGGTACGCTATGCGGAGTGAGGGTGTGGATGCAGACTCCAGGCAGGGATTTTGTCCACACAGCTGAAGCCTCAGCTTCCTCGATTTCCAGGCTGGTGCTCGGGAAGCCCCTGGGCGAGGGCTGCTTTGGGCAGGTGGTGCGTGCAGAGGCCTTGGGCATGGACCCGGCCCAGCCTGACCAAACTAGCACCGTGGCCGTCAAGATGCTCAAGGGTGAGTGTGGTGGCCTCAGGGAAGGTACTAACAAAAGGGGCTCAGGGTGCTATCAGGTGAGCAATGGTGGCCAGGAAAGGCTGTGGGATCTTACCCTTGGGCCTGGGGCCCAGCTCTCCTACTGACCCTGGCAAGTCACTTCTGAAGTGCATGAAAAGTGCCTGGTACAGAAAATCTTATCTATTGGGATGATGGTGACTACAAGGATTTGGGGTGACAGGTTTGATACCCCCATGTCAGCCTTGGCCTCAAGTAACCTTGTCAGCCTTGTAGGCCTTCACCTCATTCCCCATGATTCCCCCCTGAATCTAGCCCTCAGCCTCCCTCAGGCCCTTCTTAGGTTTGTCATGCTATGTCTACCACTCTAGAAGAACAGCCTTTCTGCTTAAACTTGGTCCCAGCCTCCAAGCAGGAGCCCCAAGATGCTCAGGACACACCTAGGACCTACAACTGTGGCCTCTCCCTGCTGTGCCCTAGCCCCCTCTACAAAAGCAGCACAAACTGATGTTCTGCTCTGCCCTGCCCCCCTCCTCTCTGCACAGCTGGGGCCACCTGGCACTTTCAGGGAGGCAGGGATTGAGAAATGTGCATTGTGAGGTCTGCTGGGGAGGCTATGTCATTGGCCCAGGGCCACAGGTCAGTCCCGGGGGCCCAGCCCCTGCTCCACAGCCTTCTTCCAGGCCTCCCCTAGCTGTGCCCCACTGGCGGCTCCCTGAATTCCCAAGCCAGATGGACGCCAGGCCCTGGTCAGACAGACCTCAGGGCGCCAGCCTGCTTTCCGCCCCCAGGAGCTCTCACCCCGTTCAGGGACTAACACCAAGCCCTACAGATGAAGCTTCCTTCCTGTTCCCCCTCTCCTGTTTCTTTGTCCCCTCACTGGCAGGCCTACCTCTTTTAGATCCTTGATTTCGTTGCATCTTGCAACTGCTGAGAGGTAAAACATGATTCATTGTCCCATTTCATACAAGAGGATCTCAAAGTTCAGAGAAGTTAGGTGACTTTTTCAAGGCCATGCAGCCTAGCAGGGACTCAGGCCCAGGCCTTCCTGACTACCAGTCCAGCACTCCATGTCCTGTCACCTACCCCACTGCCTCCTTTGTCTAGTCACCTTGGCTGTTGCCCTTGCAGATAATGCCTCTGACAAAGACTTGGCAGACCTAGTCTCTGAGATGGAGGTGATGAAGCTGATCGGTCGACATAAGAACATTATCAACCTGCTTGGTGTCTGCACCCAGGAAGGTAAGGGGTGGGATGGGCCCAGGTTAGGGGCAGTTAGGGCTAGGATCACAGCCTTAACAACCTCCCTGTCCTGTCCCCCATCGCTTCCGCAGGGCCCCTGTACGTGATTGTGGAGTGTGCTGCCAAGGGAAACCTGCGGGAGTTCCTGCGGGCTCGGCGCCCCCCAGGCCCTGACCTAAGCCCTGATGGGCTGCGGAGTAGTGAGGGGCCGCTCTCCTTCCCCGCCCTGGTCTCCTGCGCCTATCAGGTGGCCCGAGGCATGCAGTACCTGGAGTCTCAGAAGGTGTGGGCAAAGGGCAGCACTGGGCCACGCCAACTGCTCTATCTCCACACCTTAGTGCCCTGGCATTAAATGTCCCCAACTTCTCCGCTTTTTCATTACCCTAAGTCCTTCTGTACTGCACCCCCTCCTGCCCCATCCATATGTAGCTGACAGTGCCTGTCCCCGTTCCATCCTCACATACTCCCTGACCTGGAGACAGGGCAGGGGAAGAGGCAGCACAAGAGAGGAGCATGCAAGCCCTGAAATTAGACTGCTCAGGGCTCCCCTCTCTGATGATCCCTACTCACCAGGCTTACTGCGAGGTGCTGTGTGTCATAATAACTTAAGTCCCCTGTCCTGCCCCCAGTGTATCCACCGTGACTTGGCTGCCCGCAATGTGCTGGTGACAGAGGACAATGTGATGAAGATCGCTGATTTTGGGCTGGCCCGTGGCATTCACCACATTGACTACTACAAGAAAACCAGCAACGTGAGGGAGGCAGGGCAGAGCTGGCAGAGGGGGTGGGGTGGAACCTGTGGGACTGGCACCAATGCCCTGTCTTCTCCTTTTCAGGGCCGCCTGCCCGTCAAGTGGATGGCACCTGAGGCCTTGTTTGACCGAGTCTACACACACCAGAGTGATGTGTGAGTCCTGGAAGGTGGGGGTCCAGAGTGTCTGCCCGGATCATTGTCCTACCCCACAGAAAGGGCAAAGCACTTGCCCAAGGTTATACAGCCCTGGGACCTGAGTGGGACCAGACTCCAAAAGAAGCCCCAATCCTCACCCCCGTGGCAGATCATGTCTGCAGGATCCCCCATCCCAGCCCCAGGACTAGGGAGTGAAACCATGCCCTGCTGAGCCCTGGTCCTGCTCCCAGGTGGTCATTTGGAATCCTGCTGTGGGAGATCTTCACCCTCGGGGGCTCCCCGTACCCCGGCATCCCTGTGGAGGAGCTGTTCTCACTGCTGCGGGAAGGCCATCGGATGGACCGGCCCCCGAACTGCCCTCCAGAGCTGTGAGGCCTCGCCCCACTCTTCCCCACTTTCCAGTCCTTGTCCTGTGCCCTGACTTTAGCCTCATGGTCTGGCCCTGGAGAGTGGTCAGCAACAACTTTCACTGTGGCCGCTGGCTGCTTCCACGGCTCAGTAGGAGGTCCTGGCGTGGCTTCTGTGACCTTTAACTGAATGGCCCCATCCACCCCTCATCAAACCCCAACCCTTCATCACACCCCCGCTCAGGACCTTGAGGTCCTCCCCTCACTCAGGCCTAAGGCTCCTTCTGACTCCGTGCCCCATCCTTCCCAGGTATGGGCTGATGCGTGAATGCTGGCATGCGGCACCCTCTCAGAGGCCCACTTTCAAGCAGCTGGTAGAGGCACTGGACAAGGTCCTGCTGGCCATCTCTGAGGAGGTACTGCCCCGCTCCTGTCCTGTGACCTCCCTCTGCGCCTCATCTAAGCTATCTGGACTGACCAGCACTATTCTCCCACAGTACCTTGACCTCCGCCTGACCTTTGGACCCTGCTCCCCCACTGGTGGGGATGCCAGCAGCACCTGCTCCTCCAATGACTCTGTCTTCAGCCACGACCCCCTGCCACTGGGGCCCAGTTCCTTCCCTTTCCCCGAGGTACAGACTTGAGCAGGGGCACAAGGCTGTGCGGGCAGGACAGCCAGCAGCCTTGGGCCTCCTGGTGCAGCTGCAGCCTGTTGGTGCTTGACCTTGGCAGCCCCAAGGCCCTGCCTTCAAAGTGCTGTCTCAGATCTCCAGTTCTGCTTTGGGGAGGTCTGTTCTTGGTCCTGGGGTCCCTAGTTGAGGTTTCCAGTTCTGGGCTCGAGTCCCCAACCCAGAGTTCAGACTCAGTCTCAAGGCCTTGCCCTTACTCTGGGAGTCATGGTCCCAGCATTCCAATGGCCTGTTAGGTGTTAGGGCTCTGCTTGTCTTCCTGGGCTTTGGCACTCAGTCCTGGCTCCAAGGGTTTGGCTGGAACTGGCTGTGGGGCTATCCTAAACCTCCCTGCTCCCCTGCACCAAAAGAGGTCTTGGGCCTCTGAACCCTATTTCCCCAGGCCTCCCCCACCTCCCCTCAGCTGCTTGTCCCAGCGTCTTGATGGGAGGAGCTTTGGCCCCTGTGGTCCTGAGGCTGGAAGCCTATGAGAAAACACAGAAGCAAGTGGCCTTTTATAAATTATTATTTTTTTTGAAATAAAACTCCATGTGCCTGGTGTCTTCATTACAGTGCACGGAGAGGGAAACAGGGTAAAATGTTCCTAAGCTGGGAGTTCTGCCTGGGTGACAGACTGAGGGCTCTGTGCCCGGCCTGGGGTTCACATCCAACTCCAGCTGCCTCAGGATAGACCCATAGAACTTGTATGTGCTTGTCTTGGTCTGTCTCTTACTGGCACCATCTTGTGTGTGTGATGGTGTGAAAGAATCAGCACTAATAGGCAAAGGAGTCCACAGGACACCATATATTAGGCAGGGCTCCTATACCGTCGGCACATGTGCATGTGCATGTGCATGCTTGCGCAAGTCCTGGGGCTGTCGCCCAGAGAGTAGGCGACACCCCTCCCCCATCTGCTCAGCATTAACCAAGTTGACCATTAACACAGCATGAAAGCTCAAAACTCAGCCTCAAGGCTGCTGCCTGCTCCCACGCTCTGCCTCTCAGGCTGGGGGCTCTTGAGGGCTGTGCCCGCCCTACCTCGCCCTGCCCAGTCTCCTGGGCAGCAGCTGGATGCCTCCTGCCTGCTGGGCTGGGTTGCAGCTGTCCCTGCCTGCCTGGTCCTCCCCTGGGGAGTCCTCATGGCCCTGTTCTCAGACGCCCTCTGGGTGGGTGGGGAGGATCAGCTTCCCAAAGCTCTGAGCCTGGAACCTTTCCCAGCTCCATCATAGCAGTTACTGTGGCTCTCGAGGCCTGAACGGGATGTAGGGCTGCCTGACCCAGTGCCTGGCCCTCTCTCCTGCCTTGTTCCCCAAGCATAAGACTGCCCAACCAGTACAGACTCTGTGAAGGCTTGGGTTGACCCCATGGAGGCTGAAAATACATATAGGGTCAAAAAGATTAGATAAAAGAATTTGGGGCTGGGGCTGCTCTAGGAGACTGAGCGGCAGCTCATGGCCATGCTTCTTTCTGACTGTGAGTCTCCTCACACCCCCACCATGCCTCTTACTTGCCATGTCTCAAACTGAACTACTCATCTTTCCCCCAAAACTGGACCTCCAGGGCCCCCCACAGGCCAGAAACTAGAGAGCTCTAGTCTCAAAGAGAATGGAGACAACAGTGAATTTGGAACTAGGAGGTTCAAAGCCTGTCACTTCCAGTGTACTGAGGCCAGTGCCATGACTTCTCTGGTGATCATTTCCTTCACCCATATGAGTGAAGTGCTCCTGCCTTGCCTGCCTCTGGGCTTAGGTTTTACGATGAGAGGAGACTTAGATGAAGGCAGGCTTGACAAAGGATGCCATGCAGAGTTCACATGAATTATGCTAAGTGTTTCCCGGAGAATTAGTGCTTGGCCTTTACAAGGCCTGAGTGTCCCCCTCCAGCCCAAGATCCTGGTCCCCCTTCCTCACATTCTCCTGCAGGTGGCTCCAGAAGCAGCTTCCAAAAGCGGGTCTTGGCTTATGTACCTCCTGCACTCAAGGACCCTCTACTGGCTCCCTGGAGCCCCCAAACTTTCTAAGCTCTATCCCCTGGCTGTCACTGGCCAGTGACTATGTCCTTCACCAGCCAAGCCAATCACAGGAGAGGCAGAGCCCTCAGAGTCGGCCTGAGGTGAGGGATGAGAGCACCCATTTTCTACTTGCCCAGCATGAGCCCATCACCCTGTCAGGCTCAGCCACCCACTGCTCTCCCTCATCACAGTTTCATGAGATAAAGATCATTCTTCCCATTTAATGGTAGAGAAACTGAGGGATGAACAGGCCTACGGTCATAAGGATGGGGCACAAAGATGGAGCTGAGTTGACACCCCCACCCCAGGTTCCCAGTGGGTCCTTCACACATGGGAGACCAGAGCCAGGTCACTCAGAGTGACAGGGGCAGCTGCTGCCTGGTAGGTCTCAGAGGCCAGGAGGGGCTCAGCTGCCCACCCTGTGCCCCCTCCCTGCCCGCATCCCTGGCAGGCACACGCTTGCTGGGGCTCTTCTACATTCCTGACGTTGCATGTCAGAGTGAGACAGATGCTGCTAATTCCCATGCAAGTGCTCCTGCCCCACCTCCCCTCCCCCTGCCTGCTCTGGACAGCACCGCAGCAGCTGGGGCCTGGGCCCCTTGGTCAACCTCGGTTCTGGGTGGCTTCCTAGCCTGTTACACAGGCCTTGGGAGCCTGTAGAAAGAGCATTGGTCACCTCTGGACTTTGCCACTTGCTGGCTGCGTGTTATCAGTTAGGGTCCTGGTGGGAGCAACAGATAGTCACTCAGATCTAGGAGTTGGAGCCCAGGGACAAGAGGCTGCTGGGAGGAAGGGTCAGGGAGCCACAGTGTGTTTCAACCTCTCTGAGCCTGAAACACAGGAATGCTGACTGACTCGGAGAGTGGTTTTACATGCTCAGTTAACAACTGGGATTGGAATGGCCCCCTGGGACAGGTTGCCAGGATCTCACTCCCTCCCCAAGGCAGCCCTAACAGGAAGACATTCTCTCTTGTCCTGTTGCATAGATAAGGACAAGTGAGGCTCAGAAGGAGGAAGTGACTGTGCCAAGGTCACATGGGAGTAAGCGGAAGAGTCAGTATTTCTGATCAGGTACTCTGTGCCACCGCAGAGCCACTTCCATAGCCCCAGGGCCCAACCATTCCAAGGACCAGGGGAGGCTCTGGTTTTGCAGAAGTAGAAACATTTGTTAATGGAGCATCTGTGCACAAGGGTGACTGGACATTCAGGAGGCCCAAGCATAGATGTGCTGGGACCAGCATTTTGGGCTCCAGCCTTTGGTCCCTGCCACCTCAGGACCCTCACACAGGCTGTTCCTTCCTAGGGAACACTCCCTGCCTCACCTGGCCAAGCCCTCCTCGCCCTTAACATCTCACTAAAATCTCACTTCTCCGGGCGGCCTCCCCCAGGCCTCTTCCCAGGTTGGGTTCCCTTTCAGGCTGAGCCCCTTAGTCAGAGGTGCTAATTAGCTGTAGAGGAAGATGTTCTCTCAGTCTCCTTCCAGCAAACTGAGCACCAGGAAGCCAGCATAGCTTAGACAGATTTTGAGTCAGCCATTCTAGGACCTCTGCATATTTCAGAATCACCTGGAGGCTTTGGACTGCCTGGCCCTACCCAGAATCTCATATTGGGCACCTGGACACTTGCATTTCTAAAACGTTCCCAGAGAGTGCAGCATTGGCCCGGGAGCCACACTCCAGGAACCAGGATTTTATAGAGGCATTACATGTTCGAGGCTGAAACATCTCAGTGAAAACTCCAATGGCACCAAAGGTTTTCAATGCAAAGCAACCCCCCAGTACCCACACTCTCTGCTCCCCAAGGGAAACTGCCCCCATTTTTTGTGTCATCTTGAGTGCTTTGTAGCCCTTGATCCAGTTTAGTGGTTACTGTCCTTGCCCACCTCAATCTCCACCCAAGGCTGTACCTGGCAGAACGGAGGGGCAGTAAAGTGTTGGATGAAAGGATCAAAGAAACCCATTCCCAGGTACCGACACACTCAGGTGTGCACACTTGGCCACACCGGCCACCCCTTCCCACACTCTGCCCTGAACTGGGAGACCACTCCCGCCCCTCCACCTGCTCTAGGATTTAGCCTAATCCCAGAGGGAGGCAGCTGCAAGAGTCTCTGGGGGAGAGGGCTCCCTTCCAGAGGAAATCTCCTTTTATTCTCTTGCTGCCGAAATCTGACCTTCATTGGCACCTGGGCCCCTCGGCTGGGCTGGGGCCTGTCCCCTAGAAGTGGCTGAGGAGGAGGCGTGAAATCACCAACAGCTGAACTCACCCAGCCTTCCCCCATATCCTCTCCAACTGGGTAGCTGCTCACATTCCACAGCACCAGCCCCTTCCTGCTGCCCAGTGCCAATTTCAAGATCTTGTGCTGGTGCTTGGGGCCCAGCCTAACCTGGCTGGGTTGATCTCACCAGCTAGTCCTGCAGGGTATGGCTGTGAGCTCTGTGCAGCTCTTGAGCCTCCAGGCCACCTTTGTACCCTTCAGGACTCAGCTCACTTATCATCCCCTCCGAGAGGACCAGGCTGACCTCACTGCACAGCCTAGGCATTCCATCTCTATGAACAAATGGAAGGATCCATTTATGTCCTTCTCTTTCCCACCCATGGCAGGAGCCTCCTGAGCTCCATCTCTAAGGCCCAGGGCAGAACAGCCCACCCTAAGGCTTGTCACACAACTGAATGACCTGGTAAGGATGACGATGAGGCTCCCAGCCAGGGAGGCCCTTTCCTTCCTGAGGCCCCTAGGAAATCAGGTCCCAGGAGAGGAGGGTTGGCTGGCAGGGCTGAAAAAGCATGACCCATATTGGATAGCATGGCTCTAGAAGCTTCCAAGAGAGGTAGCTCTCAGATCCTGGGGAACCCACTGCATGTGCTAAGGGCTCCACCAATGCAACTGAGCTTCTGCCCACTTCCACACAACTCCTAAAGACAGACAGATTAGCAATAAATGATGGATGGCATGGTAGCCTCTAGAGCAGCACTACCAAACAGAACTTTCTCCAAAGATGGAAATGTTCTACACCTGTGCTGTCCAAGACAGTAGCCACTAGCCACATGTGGCTACTGAGTACTTGAAATGAGGCCCGTGCAACTGAGGAGTTGATTATTTTAATTAATTTAAATATTAACTTAAAGAGCTGTGTATTGACAGGATAGCTCCAGAGGCTTCACAAAGGGGCTGCTCAGTGCACTGGCAGGGAATTCTCTCCGACTTACAGCGCCAGTGTGCATGGTGCGCTCCCACCCATGTCAAATGTGTGCCTGAGGATGCAGGGATGCAGTCGCTTGGGGACAGTGGGCAGGTGGTCACAATGGTTGCTTCTGGGGAGGAGAACTAGGTGGCTGGAGTCAGAGAGGGAAGGGACCCTTGTTTTCTACCTGGTAACTGCATTACTTGTGTACCAAAATTAATTTTTTTCCCGAAAAATGCTAGAGAAGAAAAATATCCCCTCTGAGTACATAGCAGCTTCTAAAGCTGCCTGGCACCAAAACCTCAGGTAGCCCCAGAGCCTCTAAGGCCTAGCGCTGTCTT